TTCTCCAGATGAAAGCTCGAACAAATCCGGAATCGACGGTACCGAACCAAATTTTTTATAATACCCGAATAAAAAAAAATCCAATAGAACCGGTTTGAATCCGACCCGAGTAACGAATGCCCAGCTCTCCATGCATACAAAAAACAAAAAAAAATTATTTATGCATCTACCTTACGTGTGAAAAGAAAATAGTCTAAAGAATCCCAAAAAAGTGGAACAAATTTCAATATAAAATTACTTATTTCTAAATTTGGATGAAATTTAACTAAGGCCATGTTCCCTTTTTGTACTTAAGGCTTTTGATTATTACCAAAAGACAACTTCTAGTTTACTAATTTGTTTGCAAAGACAAAAATTCCGCACTTAAGGTGCTGCCTAAACCTATAATTAGAATTGTAACAAGTGGTGATCCATGTTTATCTTTGGGAGAATCGATCGCTTTATCCAAGTGGCACATTCATGAATGGTCACGCTACTCTCAATCTCTCATCATATTCTTTTTATCCTATTCCAACACACAGAATCCAGGAATATATATAGCCCTTATTATATCTTTATTTATACAAGTGATGTAAATGAAATAAATAGCTACATGCATATTAATGCATCAGTGTTCAATTTTGTGGACAATTTTGAGCTATTCACCACATTGATATGGATTTCTGTAAGAGAGTAAAAGAGTTTAGAAAACCTAAACAACGACCAATCAGAACATATTTGGGTTAGGGTTGTTATTGTATCGCCATCCAAGTTAAAATCTCTATGATGGATGTTGTTGATTAAATAAAACGTAGACAACATTGTTCATATGATTTTTTAAAAAGAAAAGAACGAAAATATGCATGGCGAATGACAATTTTTTCATCTAGAGACTTGTAGATGATGACCATACGACATTTTTAGTAAAATGTAATTAATTTTCAAATATTGGTCCAACAATATCTACATAAATGAATTTCAAATAGCAAAATGTCAACTCTAAAATTTTAAGAAAACTTAAAGCATATAAAAATATATAAAGAAAACTTTTTTTTCCTTTGAAACTTTGATATATAAAGAAAAAATTTGAAAAGGAATTATAGAATTTTCGAGTAGGTGAACATTGAAGTAAGCTCTTTCCTATATTTGAAGGAATATGTAAAATCATACAAGAAAGAAAGGAAATGGGCGTGTAAAGAGAAAAAGAATATATACACATAGATGTGTCATGCATAAATATGACGATAGATGCTTGAGGAGGTCCCCAAGATCGTCCACTAGTTTTATAACGCGATTATCTAACTGTTCCTATTAGAATATTACTAATCAATAACGGTTTCGGTTACATCCGATTTAGTGATTACATCAGCTTTAGTTTCGATTCAAAGTTATGATGAGAAAGAGAAATATTATAAAGTCTTTCGAGCCTATTAATCATCAACATTAGATTGTTACATCCTATTTGGTATCCAATTCAGATTACAAGTTCCGATCGAATCAAATTGAGAACCATGTAGTACTCAAATTCTAAAACATAATTTAGTAGTACAAAAAGTGAAAAAATAGTAATATGATTTCTAGATCATCAATCACATAGATTAAATTTTATAGTTAAGCGTGTTTGTCTATAAATAATTTAAGATTAATGCTATTTTTAAATGATATCTATTAGACACAAACTACAACATTCATTAAGCTAAATAAAAGTACTAGTAAGATTAAGAACTAACAAGGAAATACCCTCATTAATTATAGCAGCTGAAATCTGTATAGCTAAATAAGTTGGTATATAGCAACATACTTGCAACACTTTTTTGCCCATTAGTAAATGAAATTCCATTTGCGCTCGGATAACGATATTTGAGAACGGAAATTCTACTCTCCTTTTCTACAAAATGTTAAGGGGAAAAAAGTTCAATGGATTCGTTGAAAAAAAAGAGAGAGTAAAATATCGTTAGTGAAAAAAATTCTTATTTTCTTTGTTGAATTTTGCGATAAATCAAACATTTGAGTACTAATCTATTGTTAATAGTATTGGTTTTAGCAAAAAAGCGGATTGTTGGGACGTTGTAGCTCATTTTACCCAATGGATCATTGCAATTGATTATGAATTTGAATCTTACTATTTACCAAAAACGATTGTGCCATACTTAACCAATAGTAGTAGCTAAGCTACTCGAAGAATTTTGCAGATGACGTGGTTTTGCCTTAAGTACAACGGCCATGTCGCCACTTGCATCACCGTACGGTTCCTCAACTTTGGATTTGGCTTCATGGATATCTCAAGAGTCACAACGAATTCTGTGCCCCATCATATTATTATTGAGACTATGAACTGTTTTGTTAAGTAAGAAATTAATATTCACGAGCATAAAATCTTTGTGAATATGTAAAATAAACATGCAATTACAAAACCAGATGGATTGACATAACGGAAAGCGTGCATGGAGTGTGAACGCAAACTCAACTCTCCCATGGCTTATCTTTATCTTTATATAAACAAGAAACCCATTTCATATGTTTTATATCACAAATGTCTATATATCTTCTAGATTTATCTTAATTCTTAATATCATATCTTCATAATATTCGTTTGTTCTCTCGATTCAGGACCTTTGGTTCGTAATCTCGATCGAAAAATATACGATTATGTATACATGCAATTACAAACTTGACCACTTTTTTTCAGGGGATTAATTAATGAACCTTTTGAAGTATTACTAATAGTTATGGATGCTGGTGTAGTTCAATAATTTATCATGAATGGCTACGTAAATTCTTCAGCGGCAAGAAAGTGATGATGGATGAGTCATGAGAATCAATCCAAAGTTGACATTCCCTTAACACGTAATATTGATCCCCAAATATTGGAATT